GAGGGGAACCAGTTCGAGCAGCCGGCGTGGCAGGTGGCGCTCTGGTCGGTGGCCTACTCGCTCATCGTGGTGGTCTCGGTGGTGGGCAACGCGGTGGTGATGTGGATCATCCTGGCCCACAAGCGGATGCGCACCGTCACCAACTATTTCCTGGTCAACCTGGCCTTCGCCGAAGCCTCCATGGCCGCCTTCAACACCCTCATCAACTTCACCTACGCCGTCCACAACGTCTGGTACTACGGCCTCCTCTACTGCCGCTTCCAAAACTTCTTCCCCGTCGCCGCCGTCTTCGCCAGCATCTACTCCATGATGGCCATCGCCGTGGACCGGTGAGGAAGGAGGGCCGGCCGGGGGAAGAGAGGCGGGCGGATGCTGGAGTCCGGCGGGCTGCAGCCGCGGCTTTTTTTTGGTCCGTCTGCCTGGGAAGGAGATCCTCTAGAGCGGGACAGTGGAGTGGAGAAAGTGTCCCAGAGCAGCTGCAGAGTGCATTTTCTTCGCCCCTGGCGGGGATCTGGGAAGGGGATTTTGAGTAACGGTTTGCGGGCATAGTAGGACAGGGATCAGGAACCTTTTATGAATTAAAGAGTCAGAGTAGACTAAGAGAGCAAAAAAGAGGCGGGAAACAACAGCTCATGTGCCTAACTGAAAGCACTCCGCTTGAACAGTTTTGATAAATGACATACATACTGGTTTATAATCCATAACTTTTATGTGGCCCAAACACTGTTGGTTGTGAGTCCTTTATTAGGAATGGAATACATGAAATCTCACGATAAGTAATAAATATACAGCAGCCTGCATGATTGATTTAGTGGCCGGGCATAAATCTGTGCATTGTTTTCACCTGGATTATGGCCAGCTGTTCACCTTTGTCTTTTTCCTTGATGTAACACATCATACAATACAAAGTTTTGTCTGCCGTTCCCTTTGCACACTTGGAATTCTAACATTCTACCTAACCTTCCCCCCAATACACTTTATGTTAAAGATTGCTTTAAAAGAGCCCTATTTGAGTCTGTGGCTTTGGAGCCATAGGCTGCTGATCCCTAGATTAGAATCTGACTTTTATTTATCTAGGAATCAAGCACTGATCTTTAGGTTCTGCATACATGTATGCACATGTGTATGCACACACACACACTTAATAATCAAGCTAAATTTCATCCTTTCTCCTGCTACTAGAACTTCACATTGCTGTGAGAAACTGAACAGTGGTAATAAATTCAAGACAGGCAGGAGGCTGCATTTTTTCCCATTGCTGCAAATTAATTTATAGAACCACTGCGACAAGGTAGTAGTAGTTAAACTGACTTTTTAAAAGGAATCGGTGCCATCATGAAAAGGATTGTCTCAATGGCTATTAGGCATAGCTGTGGAACCTCCCTGTCCAGAATCAGTATATCTCTAAATAACAGATACTGGGGACAACAAACAGAGGAAGGTCATTTTGAACCCTGTTTGTGGTCTTCATGAAGATACCTAGTGAACTGCTATTGAAAACCAGAGGGGAAACGTAGAGAAACCTTTAGTTTGATCCAGCAGGGGAGATCTTCAAGCTAAGCTACCAGCCTTTCAAATGAAATTGACATGAAATGGACATGGGTCTAGTTTTCCCCAGCTGACTTTTTACCAAGACCTTAAGACAGACCCCTTCCTGCATGTCCTGTGGTTATCTGTCATCCCCAAAAGAGATGTTGAGAGCAATCCAGCCTCTTGAGCTCTCAAAGTATGATCTAGTGGCTAAGGTGTTATCCCTGATTCAAATCTCACCTCTTCCAAAGATTCACAAGGTGACCCCAGTCCTTCCCATGTGCAACATAGGATAATAATGCTGCATCCTAATAATGCTAAGGTCCATGTAACACTTTGAACATTCGAAGCTGCATATAGACTTGGCATGTCTGTATCCTTCATCCAAGAGAGTTTATGAATGTTATCCCTGCACCTGAACACTGTTTAGCTAGTTTAGGCTGAGAGGCAGCAAGTTCCCCAAAGCAGCCTCATCTCCAAGTTCAGCACTCTGTCTGCTACGCCACAATAGCTCTCAATTCTTCTTCTTAAAAAAAAAAACATTTGGGAGGACCTGTGAGCTATGAGAGAAACAGCCAGGCAAAGAAGTGAAAGTACGTTCTTCTGAAATTAATGGGACTTGGGGTTCATGTGACCCTCTCTGAATATCTATGGGTGCCTGGGGAAGGACCTACTTCTTGGCCTCCAACCTACAGCATGCCAGCTGTGTAGATCCCGCTCGTTTCAATGAGGTTTATTAAGGAGAATGTCCTGGTGGGACTGTGGCCAAAAGGCATTCCTCTGCTCTCCTTAAATAGTGATTGTCAGCGAAGAAAACCTGCTGGCTTAATAAAGAAGATCTTTAATAGTTCCCAAGGGGAGAACGTTTAACCATCCTCAGTTCATAAGCATCTCTTTAATCGGCAGAAATGAATAACTTTATGTTTTTATCCATGACTTTGTGGCTATGGAATCACGCTTATTTAAAGCAGAATCCTGATTGTGGTTTTAAGAGGCGTGCTTTTTTTTTTGTTGGAGCATATAGAGGCATGTTGAAGCACAACCTATTTTCATGAAAGGAAAGTCCCTCATTATTGAATAACAGCAGTTTAAATCAAATTGTTGTCCTGACCTGGATGGCCCAGGCTAGCCCAGTCTCATCAGATCTTGGGAGCTAAGCAGGGTCTGCCATAGGCACTGTTAGGATGGGAGACCAGCAAGGAAGTCCGGGGTCGCTATGCAGAGGCAGGCAATGGCAAACCGCCTCTGAATGTCTCTTGCCTTGAAAACTGTACAGGGTCGCCATAAGGGCTACAACGTGATGGCACTTTTTACCACCATACCTGTACAATTAGAAACAAATTGGAGAAAATGGTCACCCTCTCCCATTTCTCTAAAAGGTTCCCAAGGTAAAAATGGAGACATTATCTGGGATAGACTGGTTTCTAGTTTGCTGCTCATTTTGAAGCTCTCAGAGTAATGTGGTTTTCTCTGGTAGAGTGGAAGCCAAATTTGGATCTGGCTTAGCCACAAAAGGAGCTGCGGTGGCTCAAGTGGTTAAGACGCTGAACTGCAGGCTGTGGAAGGTCGGTAGTTCAGCAGTTCGAGACACGAGTTGCCACATGACGGAGTGAGCTCCCGTCTCTCGTTCCAGCTCCTGCCAACCTAGCAGTTCGAAAGCAAGAAATTGCAAGTAGATAAATAGGTACCACTTCGGTGGGAAGGTAACAGTGTTCCGTGTGCCTTGGTGTTTAGTCATGCTGGCCACATGACCACGGAAACGTCTTCGGACAGCGCTGGCTCTTCGGCTTTGAAACAGAGATGAGCACCGCAACCCTAGAGTCGGACTCTACTGGCTTTCGAGCAAGGGAACCTTTACCTTTAGCCACAAAAAACAGCCATGGGAAGAGACACAGATTAAAACCGTGGATACTGGAGAAGTGAAGTTAGCTCTTCCTCTCTCGTCATTTTCCCAACTGAAAATGCCGTTTTCAGCCGTGGTTTGGGTTTAAAAAAGAAAACTTTAGAAATTAATCCCCTCCCCTTCACCATACATAGACTGCTGAAATAAGGTTTTCTGCACTGGCTTGGAAAATGCTTAGCCCCCATATTTTGTGTTAGCACCTAAGGAAAGTAGATCTATCCTTCTGAGCGACCAGCTAAGTGCATTTGCTGGGTTATGTAAATGCCACAGAGATGGAGGAACTCAGCAAAGATGCAGAGTGTGGTATTAGCAGCAAAAATATGCTGGCAAGGTTGTACAGTTGCCAAGATATGCCTCAGTGTATATATTGAGTGTATTGGGGGGGGTGCCTAGCAAAATCTCACTGAGTGTGTGATGTCTGTAGTCAGGGCTCAGAGGCTGGATCCTGATGCCCCCCCCCCCCACGTGATGACTAGAAGCACAACAGATGAAACCAAAGGACAAACGGGGGGGGGGGGTTATGAGGAATCCAGCAAGCAGACTTAATTTGCATAATTATACAGGTTATCAAATCCAGCTTTTTTATTTGTTTGTTTGTTTTGGTTGTTCCAAAATTTGGGTTCCCTTGGTGCAGAATGTGGGGTTCAATCAGTGCTGACAACCCTCATTAAAGTATTAACATTTCTATTTGATGGAGGGCATATTGCGAGCAGCCAGCGGGGGAGTTCTTCCCATGGTAAATTGAAAGCCATAGGCTATGGCATCAGCGCAATCAGCCTTGATTAGTGACTATTTCAGTCCAGTCTCCATTAAGGACTGGGATGCTTTTAAGCCATCTTACACATCTGGGGAGGTGGAGCAGAAGGTGACAATAACAATGATGTCAATCATTTATTTTTATTAATTTTCATATACATGTTGTTAATACATACATTTTTAGAGTCTTTTATCGGTTTCTAACCATTTATACAATCCTGACCATCTTTCAAAAAAATACTTCCTCGTTTTTCCCCTGTAGTAACGAGTTTAGTTTATTGATTTCAGCTACTTCCATCAGTTTATCTGTTACTTCTTCCATTCGAGGTGTATTACCTAACTTCCAATATTTGGCCCACAATATTCTTGCAGATGTAATTATATATGATATTACATATTTTTCATTGTAAGAAAGAACTTCCAGCATTATATTTAATAAGTATATTTCAAGCACCAAATCAAGCTTAACATTTACCACTTCATCTATTATTCTCTGTATAGATTTCCAATATTTCTGTATTTTTAAATAATGCCACCACATATGATAAAATGTTCCCATGTTTGACTTACATTTCCAAGTTATATTTTGTTTTTCAGATACATCAAACAACTCAACAAGAACAAAGTCTTCAAGAGAGAAGAAGAAGAAGGACGGACCTTCCCGGGCTTTCTGTAGTCCGTTTCGAACAATATCTTTTCCAGACGTCAATTCATGTTGTCTGTAGTGTTTTTACAATTCCAATCTTGGCTGTATATGTGGTGTTTACAAAAGTTCAAAAGTGGCTGCTCATAGCTCTACTGTCTACCGGTCTCCAATCCTGAATGGAGACCGGTAGACAGGAAAAACAAAATATAACTTGGAAATTTGAGAATTTGATGAACATACACAGTAATATCTTTCTTTTTGTATCTTGTGCCATTTAAATTGCTGGATCCTTTGTAACTTCTTGTGACTTACATTTCCAACAGATATTGGAACAATTAGGATAACATTTTGGAATTCTTTCCGGTGGCCAATACCATCTATGAAAAATGTTACAGACATTTTCTCTAAAACTTGCAGCTCTCATATATTTTGTGGATTTCTAAATCTTTAACCAATTTTCTTGCGGAACAGTATGTCCTATGTCTCTTATCCAG